ATTTTTTCACCCAGCTGATTTGCATGAAAAAACTCTCAAAATAGCTCACTATCCAAAAATCGTCAGTTTTCTCATCATATCATGAGCAATTTGTTATATTTATGTCAGGATTAAAACTTCATAAGTACACCCGAGCATTAATTTTATGGTTAAAAAAATTGATGATTTTGCAGTTTTTTTTTGGACCAGTAGTACAGAAAAGGGGACTCATTTTCATTATTATGTTTACCAGTTTTTAATAATTTAAAAATAAATTATTGTTCTGTCCTGGAAACGAATGACACACAGAGAGAATTCGGAAAAATTTCTCAGTCAAATTCCCTGGAAAGTCCCCAAGACCCAGGTCTGACCAAGAGATCTATCGATTTATTGCCTCAAGTGAAAATCGAAGCATTTGAAGGCCTCTTTTCCATATGCAAACATTCATTTATTTTCTTTTCCATCTTTCTCGGACCCTTTCTCAATTAATTGGACAACTGGACTTCAAGGGAGAATTCGGAATTCCGAATGCCAGATGGTGGGGGTTTTCTAAGTTGCCAGCAGCATTTCGATAAGCGGCGAATTCGGGTTCTTTTATATATTCCACCATTCTTAAAGGGTGATGCCAAAGAAAGGATGAAGGGAGAATAAAAGTAAAACAGAATTGCTTCAGCTTTTCAACTTCGGAAATATTTTCCCTTTGCAGTTTTGATATGATCAAAGAAAATAACATACTGTACGCGTGAAAAAAAAAATAGAAACGGTTTCTCAGATTTTTATTCTTTATTCAGTTATTCAAGTCAGGGCTTCAGCCGAATACAAATTCAAGGTCACCCAAACCCTATTTGACCTGGTGAGGTTCAGGGATAAAATTCCAACAAAATTCATCAACCGAACAAAATTTTCTATGTTTTTGCAGATTACACAGCAGATGAGGGCATAAGATGCTAATCAAATATTCTCATTTTTGTCTCAGATCTTCTCAACTTTCCTTCTATTCATGACCGTCTTTGACTTTAACCAGGGTAATTCCAGGAAACAAAGAATACAGGACTCTAAACCTGCATTTTTTGGTGCTCCCCCATTTTCCTCAAAAATCTGAATTAACCAGAGCTGGCTCTGATTTCCAAACAAACTACTATAGTTAGAATTTCATTACCACAAATCTTGCTATAGTGAATTTTTCTTAATAACAAATTTTGTCTTGGTCCCAGCAGTGCAATTTAATTAGAGGATCATTTTTAAAAACTCATTATGGATTGTCCAATGCCTCCCTATGTCAATTTTTCTCATGTCTGTGTCTGAATTTCCTTAGAAACAATGAATTACAAAACTGGAAGCCTGTTAATAATTTCGCAAAGGTTCAAGAATATGCGTGCAAATAAAATTTCAATATTCAAACATATCATTCTTCGGAAGTCAGGAGAACCTCTCCAAGTACAATACCTCTTTTTCTCAAGCTTGTCTGGATTTCTTAAAAGCAATGCATTTAAAAGAATGATGAATCAAAATTTTTAGACACCCTATATGCCTATGATATTACAGTCAACCCCCACCTAACAGACCTCTTGCCTAACTAAGGGATTTTTGCCTAACAGACAGCTTTCATTATTAGAAGCAGTTTTTCCTCCAACCTAGTGGACAAAATGTTACCAACATAACAGACTCATGTTGGTTTAAATTTGATGGTGAAAAGAGAAATTTTATATTTTTTATAGTTGAATTTGCATAACAGACTTTTCTTATAACAGACTATAGCCTGTTGCATGAATTAATTCCTTTGTGCGGGGGTTCACTGTATTCTATTGAAACCGGAAAGAGAGAAGCAAATAAATTCGCAACTTGATGTGTTTTGTTGGGAAGAGAATGATTTTTTTGTGGAGAGATGAACCATCGCCTTCAAGTTCGGCATCCTGTCGAATCATCAGAACGCAATAATCCAAAGTCCAAAAATATCACTAAATTTCCTTCCATTTTTCTCTTTTCCCAAAAAAAATGCATGTTCCCTCAACTCAAAACATTCCAACTCAATTTTTCGCAGTTCCCTTAAATTCTGTCCAACTGAGTGAACTCCAAGATATTCCAAATAAACTTCACCAAAGTTTATGGAATAAAAAGATTTTCGAATCATTTTTAGCCAGCATGCCAAGAATGACTTGGAAAACAATTATCAACAGTGGTACATGATTGAATAAATAAAATCATGTAATTGTATAAATTGTATTTGACCTGCAGGAGCGACTCCCAACGTGATGGACTGGTCGTAGAGACTGCCCGAGGTTTCCCCACACAGGCCATGATAGGCGACAGCTGTGCTGAGTCTCTTGAGGCAGGCAGAGCGCCGGAGGTGGCACACAGAGTCGTAGCTGTTGTTGTCGGTGCCGCACACGGGCCTCATCACAGAGTCGCATTCGTCGGGACACTTGCAAAAGGCCTCGCCGAACTGGTTTATTTCGCATTCTTCGCCTGGCAGACAATTCACTGCTTGGCAGGGGTTCCTTCCTAAAAAATGGTGGAGAAAAGTTTATTTCCTGATGAGTCATTTGTGTAAGGAATGGAATTTTTCATACTGCGAGCGAAATAAATTTTTTTTTGTGTGTGCAGGAAATGTGGACTTGAGCTTTTCTTGCATTCAATCATTCATTGTCATGCTTTGATTGCTGGACTGTCAGACAGGTGTCACCTGAATCATTGGATTGAGGAATGTGGATCACCTGTACTGTACAAGGGTTCTAACAAAAGTTCACGGAGTAGCAATGAACTTGGCTTACAGTTGACCTGAAACCAATTTTTTTCTTTAGGGAAAACATATTCTTTGGCACACAAAAAATATCAGCCCTGTTTGACAATTTTTTGGAAATTTTTTTTTATAATGAGCCCTGGCAGTTTTTCTCTCCAGCACTCATAAGATGAGGCGCCCTTTTTTGCCCTTTTTTTGTTGTAGCCCAGCTTTCCCCTCAGAATTTTTAAAATCAGCTTGGCATCCTTCTAAGGGTTGCCTCCAGGTCATCCAAGGCAATTCCGCCATTTTCATCAAAAGCCGCCTTCACAGCCACAACATTGGCTGCAACATGGGCCACCACTTTGGCGGCTGTGAAGGCGGCTTTTGATGAAAATGGCGGAATTGCCTTGGATGACCTGGCGGCAACCCTTACAAAGAATGTCAAGTGCTCCGGGTGTCTGGTCGTTTAAAGGTTGTTGTTTTTTGCAAACACCTGGTCGTTTCAAAGTATTTTTAATCCGTCTGAGTTTTTGTAAAACAAACTTTCGGAAATACCGTTCATTAACTTTTACAAGACTTTTTTTTTGTAAATAATTAAGTCAAGAACCAATGAAACAGCTGGTACCCAGTCAGCTGCCAGTTGGCCAAACCATGGTCACGCACCGGTCATAGGTCCATTGGATCCTAAACAAAGGAATTGAATTGTGCAAACATCAGAATGCAAGTTTTGAATAAGAACTCAAACTCTTACGAGAGGAGTTCATCCTCATTGCCCAGGTTGTCATTTGGCTGTTAATGAAATGATTGTTTGGAATGGCAGATTCAATTGTGAGATTGATGGTTGGTTGGTTGGATCAGAAGAACAAACAAGATGATTCAAGTTGAAAGGCCATTTAACACAAGATTGTTATTTTTGTGTGTTCATTATATGGAAGGTTCTGAGGTATGCGCGTATGCCTCTGTTTTGCAAAGCTCACCAGAAATGACCATAAAATGAATATTGCATTTGAAAGGAGAAGCTCAACATTCCTATAGGAAAAATGCAATTGAGTTATTGCCAAAAAAATTTAGACGTAATAAACGATGCTTTTCTAGAGCAAAATATTGTTACAACAAAGCTGCTGGGACCAGAAAAAAATGCTTCGTTATAAGAAAAATCATCATACAGCAAGTTGCATATTTCTGTTTTGCGATCCGGCAGAGACATTGTAATCAATAATGTGTTCTAGCAAGATGTAATGTACATTAATTATATTCTACTGTGGTTACTTTTCTCAGACCATCAATTCAACCAAGGCCGTGAAAGTCTTCCATCTATATTTTCGCATTCAAAGCTGATTCTTTAAAAAACGAAAAAGAACGTGATTAATCCAGCAATTGGAAGTTGACGCCAAAAAACACACCCGCTCCCCCCCAAAAAATACCAGACAGCTTGTTTTCTACCAGAAAATCACGGGACCAATAATCCATTTGTACCCGCCATTCCCGAATAAGTACCTGAGCAATCGATACGAACATTCCGATCTCATTATATTCATGACTATAGACAGCAAAAAGAATGTCAGCCAAAACCCTGCATTGGACAGTGCTTAATCCTCTTTCCAATAAGCCAGGATCTAGACATTGACACATTAATCAGTGAAAAAAGCTCCATTGACGAATCATTTCTCCTTTTATTTCGTCCGGGCAGTGGAATTTTTTTTCTGGAGGCAAATAAAAAAAATTGCATGATGTGGCTGAGCCATGTGTTGATTTCTGGCTTTCTAGCTGCTTATTCCTGCCAAGGAATGATTTACCAGTACAAAGAGTAAGTACTGTATATAAGTCCTTCAGCTCAAGGGCCGCATTTTTTCACTGTATCCGTGATCAAGGATTGCAAAATAATAAAAATAAAAATGCAAACAATCAGCCTTTTGAAGGCCAAGAACGGATATTCAACGGGTTTCCTTGAATATATGTTCCTAGTTTTTCAATAATTTATTTTATGATCAAGTTGAACGCAAAGAATAAGAACACAATGCACAAGACAGATTTGAATAATAGCACAGGAATAACAGATTTGTGCACACAAATCACCAGGAATAAAAGGATAATTATTGTTGAGAGTTTAGGACACACTGAGACTCTTAAAATCTAATTATTTGTAGTTTTGATTGAGGAGGAAACCTTCATTGGTTTCCTCTCTTGCTTTCTCCTCAACAGTATCGCTCATGAATGATAATTCACTGACTTGGAAGAAGTTTCTGAACGATTGAGGCAAATGCCCTGATGTGCATGCCTTTTTTTATTTTTCTGCTTTATGTTGCAAAAACAAAGAGGAAAAAAGTATGATTTGGGCAGCAGCAGCAGCAACAACAACAACAACATTCCGACCAGAGACAAGGCGTTATGGCCCAAAGAAATGTACTGCAGGCAGAGTTTGAATCACATAGGTTGCCAGTACTCGGGGATCAACGCCATGGCCTGCGGCAAAGTCATCAAACGCGGGCTGAGCAAGAGCCAGGAACGGCTCATCCTCAAAGCACACAACAGAAGGCGGTCGGAAATCGCAATGGGAGGACTTTATCACCAACCTCCTGCTGCGAACATGGCCAAGCTGGTGAGTTTTTTCTGGGTTAAAGAAAAAATAAATGTGTATAGAGAAGCATTCATATTTTAAATAAAAAGTTTTCACACATTTGCAGTAAATGGGGAGAAAAGCTGCTGGTATAATAAGTCCTTTCTTGAAAAAAAAAATGTTTAAGCATCAATATCCTTATCAGAAAGTTTTTGCATGTTTTCACTAAAGAGAATAGCTGGTTAGTTTTCTCTTGAAAATAAACATGTCAAGCACATGTCTAAATGCTGCACCAGTCCAATTTTTTCCCTTTTTCGGTCAATCCTGAATTAATCACTATGGCCTGTGCACATAATCAGGCAAGCATTTTGTTATACAGCAGCTAGTACTGAGATTGAAACCTAAAATGAGTTTGTTAAAACAAGATTCATATATAGCATTGCGCCTTGAAAAAACTGCTGGGAGCAAGAAAAAAATCGTTTTAACGAAAAATATGCCTTAGTGTGATTCTTTGGAAAAAACTTTTACGGCTTGGGATAAAAGTTGCAAGTCCTTGAAAATAATTTTACGCACGGCACATTAGCGCACAAGGGATACATAAAAATTTGCGTTGAAAAAAATGTCGCGCGTCTGTAATGGTACTCTACCGAAGTAATTCCATCGGAGTGAAAATAATACTTGAAAGAAAATGTGCTGATCATATTTCCAGGCTCCTTTGTCAATTTTAGAGGAACAGCCTTCTCATGAAATAAATTAAACGTTTTGCGAGATTGGCTGAAAAATCCCCGTCATTTCACGCGTAGCAACTTTGCACAGAGAAGCCGACGAATGAGGAAAATTGAGGGAAGAAGAAACGTTCATTTTCGTGCTTTTTCAAAACACTTCCCGCTAATTAATAAGTAACAAAATGTGAAAACATTGCCCACCGTGTCTCTGTTTCGTTGAAAATATTTCATTTTGTATTCAAAATATATTTTTTTTTTAAATAAAAAATTCATTATTTTGCACTCGCAATTATAATGAGTGAAGAAAAAGTTGAAGTGACACGTCGAAAATTTTCCGGTACTCTTGAAAAATCTCTGCAAATACTGTATAAAAATAAAAAACAATAAAACTTGACCAAAGTGCTCTGGCTCCAGGCAATTTCCAGGCCCACCAGAAAAAAATAAGATATATCGCAACAAAAAGTCGATTTTTTTATGTTCGCTAAATACTTTGTTTTTTGAAAGCCCTTCGAGTAGGGTGAAATAAAAAATTTGACCAAAATGCGTTTGCTGTTCCGACTCTCTAAAAATTATATATTTTAAATATGCCTTAGTGTGATTCTTTGGAAAAAACTTTTACGGCTTGGGATAAAAGTTGCAAGTCCTTGAAAATAATTTTACGCACGGCACATTAGCGCACAAGGGATACATAAAAATTTGCGTTGAAACAAAAAAATGTCGCGCGTCTGTGCTGGTACTCTATACCGAAGTATACTTCCATCGGAGTGAAAATAGTACTTGAAAGAAAATGTGCTGATCATATTTCCAGGCTCCTTTGTCAATTTCAGAGGAACAGCCTTCTCATGAAATAAATTAAACGTTTTGCGAGATTGGTTGAAAAATCCCCGTCATTTCACGCGTAGCAACTGTGCACAGAGAAGCCGAATGAGGAAAATTGAGGGAAGGAGAGAGTTTATTTTCGTGCTTTTTCAAAAAACTTCCCGATAATTAATAAGTAAACATGTGAAAACATTGCTCACCGTATCTCTGTTTCGTTGAAAATATTTCATTTTGTATTCAAAATATAATTTTTTTTTTAAATAAAAAATTCATTATTTTGCACTCGCAATTATAATGAGTGAAGAAAAAGTTGAAGTGACACGTCGAAAATTTTCCGGTACTCTTGAAGAATCTCTGCAAATACTGTATAAAAATAAAAAACAATAAAACTTGACCAAAGTGCTCTGGCTCCAGGCAATTTCCAGGCCCACCAGAAAAAAATAAGATATATCGCAACAAAAAGTCGATTTTTTTATGTTCGCTAAATACTTTGTTTTTTGAAAGCCCTTCGAGTAGGGTGAAATAAAAAATTTGACCAAAATGCGTTTGCTGTTCCGACTCTCTAAAAATTATATATTTTATCGAAAATGACAGTTCCTATTCGTAAATTGTTTATCGTACATATTCCCAAGATGAAATAGTACGTGATTTAAAAAACAAGAATTGAATAAATCTAAAACTTTGAGCAAATTGCCGAACAAGAAGTTTTTCGAGCGTATACTCAAAAAAACGAAAATAAATCTTCTTGATTTAAAAACTTTAATCGTCGATGCTTTCATAGATATGTGATTTTCAAAATATTTCAAATGGATGGTGTGGAACACTTTGACGCAAAATCCCAATCACGAAAAAACTCAGAACCTTATTCTGAAATTAACTGGGCTTATCGATCAAGAATTTATCCTCGAAGATTATAAATTACAGAAAAATATTCGTTCGAACAAATAAATAAGTAAATATCCGCGTATATTGCCATAAATTGGTAAGACTGCTGAATGGAGCGCTTTCAGCGATTTTCCCCCATTATTTCCACATCGAATCAAGTCAATCAAGTCACGTACCTTCTTCATATCAATTCAACCACTCATTCTTTTGTCCAGAAAAATACCACTGATCCGATCAACAAAATACCCTAGGTTTTTTTTTTAATCTCATATTTCACCTGACGTCGATAATACCAAGATCCGATCAGATTAAACGAAGCACATCCTCACATATACGCTTTCGTATTTATCTCAAATTAAGATCTGCAAAAAAAATCATCAGTTACGGATAAATCGGAAGATCAGCAGATAATTTGGATGTGGCGAATACCTCTCTTATATACTATGTCCTTTATAACATGGGGGAATATCGACGCGTGGAAAAAAAACGCGTTAATGCGGCGAACAAAATCCCCTTCTTCATGATTGATTTTATTGATTGCCGTTTCTCAGGAATGGGATCAACAAGCAGCAGCAATTGCGCAACTTGTGGCTGATCAATGCAGGAGCGGACCGCAAATGGGAATTGATACAAGTACTGTTGATTATATATGGACTAAATCCCCCCCCCCCCCATTCTCCGACTTTAATATGAACCACTTATGATTCAACATATTCTAATCAAGAACAGGTCGCACTAATAACCTTGAAAAATATGCTCCAAAAATATTATGAGGCCTATTTGTGAGTTATACTGGAAAATAGGCCGCACTGAAATCTCCTCTATGTTGATGAAATAAATCAGAAGACATGGAAACCTATTGTTTTACTCATTTATTGCGCATCAAACACTTTTAAACGGTCACAAATTCTGCCATAAATTCAAATTCCCTAAATTTTTCTATTGAGAACATGTTTAATATTTTTGAAGGTGAAGGCAAACAGAAAGCTTTATTTTCCGCTTTTCAGCATTCACAAAGGTTAAATCAGCATTCCCACATCCAAACCCCCTCCTCAGATAACCCAAATCCATTTAAATGCATTCAATCACTTCAGAATGGGAAACAGAGAAATAAGCTGTACTGTATATGGATACCAAAATAAAAGAAAATGGATTCCGCAATGCACAACTGCGTAACTGATGTGCATGCATACACCGGCTTTTTCCCCTGACATTGAAAACAAAATACCAGTAACAGGAATTGCAGCATGAGCCAAAATTATAGCAATTGCAGCAGTTACTGAACCCAATTTGAAGCACCAGGTCTTCAGCCTGTTCCCAGATATGGTTTAGTTGATTGAACAATTTAGAGAGGATCTTTGATGAGAAATCATATGAGGTCAACAGTTTATCTTGATCATTTATGATTCATGGTCATGCATTAAAAAAAATTCTTTCAAAAATGTCACGGTTTATAAATGTCTAAATACCGCAATTTAATTTTGAGAAGGACTTAGAAAACTCCATTTAGAGCAAAAGCAAAAGTTGAAGGGAATTTCTCGGCAATGCATTCTAGAAAGATGGTTTTCTTCAAATTCAAGAATACTTTCAATAACAAATGTAAAGTTTGAAAAAATGGAGACGTTTTATGGAGGTATACCAGTTTTAAAAATTTTGCATGTATGTTGCATTGAATATTTTTTAAAGCTTGAAAGAAGGTCTTCAAATGAATTTTTTTTTTTTTTCAATTGAATCCCATCCCCTTGAGTTTAGGCCACAAATACAGACTCTAGGCCGCATTCTAGGTTTTTGGATTTCAATTTTTCACCACAAAGCCTATAAACATAGTTGAAAAAATAAAAATTAACGAAATTTTCCCGATATTTCCCGTCACTTTCTTCCAAATTAGTTTTGAGTGATGGAGCCCTAATTCCGAATAATCAGCACCTTTACGGATCGTCTCCCAACACCACCAACGAGGATTTTGACGTGGAGAAAGCAGTTGACATTTGGTTCGCCGAATTGGAGAAGTTAGTGGTCGACGACGTTATGGGTTATGTGTAAGTCAATTTATCCCGAAAATTCGATTGCAGTACTGCAATTTTTTTTTTTGGACGAAGAAAAAATGCTTGATGGAATTTGTGGGATTATGTCCGAACATATCTGTGCCCCTTTCAAGCAATTTATCATCAGGACCCGTGTGTGTCATATTGATAGCTCTGAAAAATAATTTATGATACCTCTCTGTTCTGCGGGGTTCTCAGTATTAAAAAAATATTACTCCCAAATATTGTAGCGAATTCGACGATTCATTTTTTTATTGATTTCCTAACAACATGACCAAATTCCATTGAGCTAGGCTATACGTTTTAGAATGCTGGGTTTCTAACGCATGCAACCATTTTTGGCTACACCCTCATTTAAAGTGAAAAATTGTATGGAAGTTAGCAACAAATTGTATGCACAAAACTCAGGAAGAGAAATAATTTAAGCAACAGCTATGCATGTCAAAATTGCTTCAGGAGTTTACACCATGCAACGATGAGACAGTTTGAGTTCAACTTACCAATGTGACTTAAAATTAGAATAGCAATCACATCTCTTCAAGTCAAACTCAGAGGGACCCACAATCACTGCAACCTTAAAGGTTTTCAAGTCAGGGAATTAAACATTTTTGCTGAGGAAAAATTGGAAGTATAATAGGCATACAAATTTAGGTAAAATATTCCAAAATGTATATCATATAGTAATAGTGTTTCATTAAAAAAAGTGAAACACAAAGTATTTCAATTTTTAGTTTGTTCTTCCGAGTGGCTTTTCCGACAAATTCACTATGCAGGAAAATCTCGTTTCAACGATACCCTTGGAACCAATAAAATGGCCTGGTTATAAGGAAACTTCGTTATAAAATAACTTATTTAACAATTTGGCTGATTGGGGATACGACTTCATATTGCAAGCAATTATTCATTATAATGAGATTCATTGAGGCAAGATTCCACTGTAAAGATGTAGAATTTCTCTGCAACAAAATTCAAGGGATCAGAAGAAAATCGTTGCATGGAGAAATTTCGTTGTAGAGAAACACCTTAAGGCACGTGTATAAAGAAACCTACAGGTTCCAAAAATAATTCCACATATAGTAGAATATCGTTACAAAGAGTCTTGTTGTAACAAAATAATGCTTACACCGTATTTGTTTTTTCCCCTTTCCAACCGCCAATATCTTAATTTAGTTTCAACGAATTTTTGCTTACAACAAAATGTATTTATGGTCCAAAAAGGTTAAATTGTAATGAGATTCTTTTTTTTCCGGAGAAATTCTTTGCACACCAGATTATTGCAGAGAGAGCCCACTTTTATTGTGGGTTCGTTATGCGAGAAATCTAGACTATTTTTTTTGCATTTTCTGTAATCCAATACAACTTGTTTTGCGAAATTCAGACCGGATTTCCGAACTGCTCATTACGCGCAGCTCGTTTGGGCCAACACAGTGGGCCTCGGGTGCGGGTTCATTGAGTACGTGGCAAACGGCGGCTGGATCAACCGGGAACTGGTGTGTCACTACGGCCCCACCGGAAACCTGCCCGGACATCCGCTTTACATCCTGGGGAAATCCTGCTCGGCTTGTC